ACCTGCACAGTGAGTCCACAGTGATTGGAATAAATTTCAACCTCATGAATTATTTGCGAACATCCACAGCTCTTGTGAATTCCATTTTAGCTCTCAATAGAAAGCTACCGGGAGTTAAAGAAGAGATCCATGCATTTTTTATTCCAAGTTAAGCCTGTTTTGGAAGGATAATATGCGAGTTCTGCTTCATTAATCCTGATCTGGTTGGCTTTAAGATAATCGCTAACACAACATCACAGAGATTTTCATTCATTTAAAACTGCTTATTCTGCAGATGCTGATCCCAGTCAGTGTACTGGAAATTTACATTTTTACATCTTGTACAACTGATTAAGAAATGCATTTTTCATCTTTAAATGTGGACTTTAGTGTGGTTTGCAGTGGGGGGGAGTAGTGGAGATCTTCTGCACTCTAACAAGTGAAGGAGAGACAGAGAGAGGGGAGGGCTGAATAAGCATCCTCGCTGTGGTTTGTGGTCTCAGTGAAACTATCACCAACTAGCTGCTTCTTTAAATGGTTTAAATTTCATGCTGGCAGTTTATTCTTTATATTTGCATTACTTCTAATTCTTATAAAGCTGCATTTTTTTTTACTGTAGCTACTTTAGATTTGACATTAGAAATATCCAAACTGTGCAAAATCTCTAAAAATAGAAAAGTAGATTTTGAATACAGTAACATCATAAACAAATTAACCCAGTAAAATAGCAAGCTGATTCCTAAAATATCACGATGTGTGATAAGTGTCAAGAAAAGAAAAGAGGAGGGGCGCTGGTGGCGCAGTGGTTAGTGCGTGTACCCCATGTGTGGAGGTTTTGCTCCTCTAAGCGGGCGACATAGGTTCAAATCTGACCTGTGGCTCCTTTCCCGCATGTCATTTCTCTCTCTCCCTGATTTGCAACTCTATCCACTGTCCTATCTCTCCATTAAAGGCACAAAAAGCCCAAAAAGAAATCTTTGAAAAGAAAAGAAAAGAGGCAGATATCAAACTTGAATAAGCAGCATCAGCACACGCACAGGTCAACCTTGTAAACAGTCACTATCTTATAGTTTTCTTTCTTAGAGGTTAAATCATGACAAACATCTACAAAAAAAAAAAAACTAACACGTTAACAAACGTGAACACATAATTGAAATCTTATCGGGTCTAGAGCTTGAGTAAGGCCGATTAAGCCGATGAAATGCTGGCAGCAGAGGAAAGGTGAGCCGGCTCTGGATGTGAGGCCGTGCTGGCCTCACCATAACAAACTAGCACACTGAGCTTAACTCGGAGAGGCATCTTAATCACATTCACGAGCAGCTCTGGTGCTGCCTGCTGCCCGATTATGGCTGATGTGAGCCGACTGAAGGATGATGACACTTCCTGTGCAGAGGGGAGCAGGCTGGATATCGCTGAATGTGTGTGACGGTGGATGTCTACTCGTACTTCTCACTTTAAACAGTGTGTAAAAACGTGTGATTGTGTTTTGTTTATGTGTGCATAATGTGCACATCTAGCAGCGTGCACATGCGAGAAAAGAGGGAAATGGACCAGTAAAGGCCGGTGAGGTGGAAGGAAGCGTTAAAAATGATGCTTTGACATGAGAAGAGAGGGACGAGGAGAAGATGCAGATCTGTGTGTGTTTTTCCAGAATTGTATGCCAACAAAATATCATCAGCACATTCAGAACATGCCCTTCATTGCTTCTTATTTTAACACTTTTACAAACAAAAACAACATTTCTTTCAGAGTCACAGGGAGCAGCACAACAACAACAAAATCAACAGGGCTACCACAACAGTCCTCTCAGCTCTCAGTTCATGCCATGATAAAAAAAAACTCAAAAACAACATTTGGGATGCTTTTACAGGAAACAGTGGTGACCTTTAAAAAAAAAAGACAAACAGGCATGGAAATGTGGAAGTAACAACTTCCATTTGATATGCATGTGTTTTTCAATCATGGGGCTCGATCCTTTCTGCAGTCAGTCAGTCAGCTCCTGCTGAGCTCTGCACGAGCTTCTCCTGGCTGATATTCATGAAGACAGACATCAATTTTAATGACCCAATCAATAGACACACACTGACTCAACTCTCAGCATCTCTCTGCATCTCTATCATGTTTACCCTCTCTCTTCTTCTCTCGCCTCATCGCGTCTAATTCTTTGTTCATTTTTTGGTCCTTTTTCAAACAACGCCAGTCGTCTCCACAGTCCACAAATTGTGCTGACAGATGTGATTGCTGCAGACGTTTGAAAGCTCGCCCAAATTCAGCGAAAAGTAGACAATAGAAAAGAGAGCGAAGGAGTGGGAGGTGTGACAGAAATCAACAATTGCAAAGAAGGCGTGGAGTTTGATTTGTTCACTCTGCCGAGGATGGAGGGAGCAGGTAGGCAGATGACAGACGGGGTTATTGAATTATCTCAGGAGGTGATGAGGTTACAGCTGCTTTCAGTCTGCTCTCTGTGTTAATCTTCATACACACATACAAACATATTTCTACAGATATATATCAGCACACACACTGTACACTGTAAACAGAAACACACACAAATACTTAGACAGGCACACACACACCCACCCACAAAGAGACAAGCACACAGTTGTTGATGTGTCCAATGATGCAGAGTGAAGACAAATTGCTCCCTTTGAAGGCCAAAGCCAAATCAAACACAGAGTCTGATTTCTGTCACTGTGCTGTTCGGCTTTTAGGCTGCAATGCTGACATCTGACAAAACATCCATGCAGTCACACACAAAAACTAGGAAACCGCACACACATTTACACACACGGTCCATGCCAGGTCTTTGCCGTCAAAAAGCCACATAAACTCCTCTGCACCATCCCCTGCTAGCATAATGTCCACAATAGACACATTCATAACTTGATTTAACAAACAACTGTCCTGGAACAACTTCAAAATGAAATAATTCTCTACAAACTAATGGAGCAGAAATGCCAGACGGGGCTTTTACAATGAAAAGCTCACCAGAAGTGTGACTATAGAGTGGACGATAAAACAATAACGATAATATAACACATTTTAGAGTTTGACATATGTAATAGCACGTTATTACACCACCCAAATACTGATGCGCCTAAATGCCAGTTGCCACTTGACGTTAAAAAGAAGAAGAAAAAGACGATGAACAGCCAATCATGTTGAGCGAAATGAGCGATAGCGATACTGAAGAAAATGCTGAGTTATCCGGCTCAAAGCAGGAGAAAACAATGCCGACAAGAAAGGCCACCCGACTTCAGGAGCTTGGAGATATTTTGTATATTTACAGTCGGAAAAAAAACAGAGTAAAAGTGCTCTGTAGACTGTGCCGAAGACAAGTGCAGCTAAATGGGCAACACCACAAACCTTTTCCACCATTTGGAACAATCTTCCCCTTTAGAACACACCCAGGGGAAGAAATGACCAAACGTCCCAAACGAGTGTTAGTGGACCCTCAGGAAGCACCGGGCAGTGAGTGTCACTCCCCAGCAGCCAAGTGTCATCTCAGCATTTTCCAGCATCGTGCACTGAGCTTATGATGGTGCAATGTTCTGACAATAAAGAATAATTAAACCACAATTAACCATCTGGTTTCTTCAACTCTCACTCAGGAGAAAAATCAGCCTTAGAACTAAATGAATTGACATGTATTGTGACAATTATCGATATCGACTGATATGACAACATCATCCAGCCCTTAGAGTGACCATGATTTTTTTATATGATACTTGTGACTTCTGATGTAGACGTAAATATTAATATTTTTTATTATAATATGTTTTTCCTTTATATCTGTGTATGTAAATTGAATGACTGACTGTTTTTTTTTCTTAATACCCTGAACTGTTTTGATAGTTGACCACAAATGGTATCAACACGTTCTAACTTATAAAAAAATGTGAGGGCTTGCCTTCTTTTAAACGTAGCCTATACTTTTTGAAGTTCATCCAGTGAATTTTAGTGTCTCCATAGTTGAATCCAAAAAAAGAGTTTTCCCATAATATGAATGTATAAATATACTGTCATACTGATTCAGCTCTATCCTCTTAAGTCAATACATTTTAACATTTACATTATTAATGGATGGAGACAGTCTATTAAACATAGAAGCTAAGAAGTTCTCATTTAATCAGACTGGACCGAGCCTCAAAGTCTGTCTAATTATCCATTTCAAATTCTACCTGCCGTCTCATTCAATGTATCACAGGCACTCCCCCTAAATAATTGCTTTTCCACTATCTACGAGTTCATGTGTGCACATTTTATTGATCCAATTGAGTCAGCAAAGAAAACAATCTAAACCGAAATTAAAAGCTTCATTAAATGTGAAAATTGGTCGGGGAATTACAAACATCTGGTTCTGGCTCCCTGCATCATAAACTCACCAAGGTTAAACCAAACACCAATTTACGGCTCGCAGAGTCAGACACAAGTCGCAGCCGTGAAGCACTTTCACCAACACAGAGCGAGTCAACAAAGATTCAATAGATTGAGAGAGAAAAGTGAGGGCAGAGGCTGAAAGCTCTATGTGGCTTGTGTAATGCGTGAGTTTGCAGCCAAAAACTTTTAAGTCATTTCGGTGCACAGAAGTTAGAATGCTGCCGTTTTAAAATAGTTTAAGATCAGAACAACATGTTCTGCTTTTAAAGAATCCACCAACAGCCGCAGTCTCAGAGGTTGTTTGAGGTGCACTTCTGTTCTCTGGGACCTTGGAGGAGCTTTAAAATGAATTGGCACTGGTTGTATTTTAACAGCCCCCTGCTTGAGTGTTTGTGCTGTTGTTTCCCGCATAAAGGGAGATCACAAGGAACAGAGAGCTCAGAGTTCATTGATTTAATACCTAACATCTCCTGGTTTGGATTCTCTTCTGAGCTCAGGTTCTCCTCTGAACAGATCTGCTTTGATTCAGCCTATAAAAGGAGTTGTGACAGGTTCCATATCTGGAACAAAGTGAGTCTAAAAAACGTATATCTAAAAATCCACCTGTGAGGAGAGAATCATCTGAGGCTGTCTGTGCTTACCATTAGGATGTCCCGGGTCGCTTAACTTGTACTTCCCCATGTCGACAGTCCGCAGCATTTGCAGATCATTAGGACCGTCCGGATTGTCTGCAGCTGAGCATGGAGCCTGTGCTGCTGCTGCTACTGCTTGTCTATTGGCCAGAGGTAGGGCAGGAGATGGGATGAGGCTGGGGTGAGAGGGTAAGTGGCTGCCGTCAATCACAATCGGAGGGTTTGGAGGAAACACCTGGTTGGCTCGGGCAGTGAGGACGAAAGGTGTAACTGTGGGTTGAGACGAGACGTACGGAGACTGACTGGGCATGCTCAAAACCATTGAGTGTGTCTGCTGGGTGGACTGCGGTTTCAGCTGAAAGTGGGCCATCATGAGAGGACGCTGGGGGGGAAACAGGTGTCTGGATGGATGGAGGTACTCTTATGATGGATGACTGTGCAGTCACACTGTGCCTGAAGGAGGCCTGCTGGGGGACGGCGTAGGTGTGGGGCAGAAGGCTGGGCTGGTTCACTGCTGCTGTTGGTGCAGACCAGTTAGGGTCTGAAAAAAATCAGACGAAAGAGCAAAAAGAAATAGATTTATCAAGCTTTCACACAACAAAACCAAATAAAAAAACACTGAGGTGAATGTATTTTTCTAAGCAGTAGACAAAGCAAGACAAATAAAAGAGAGTGCTAATACTTTCTTGATCTGTATGAGGAGGCACAACAGGGATGTTTCTGTTGAATTGAAGTGTTGATAAATTCTGGCAGACTGGGTAGAGAACTTTCTGGAAACAGTTCAGTGAACTCGGAGAGGAGCTGGCTTTGCTGCAAATGCCAGTCACAGTGTGGAATAGTGCACAAATCAATATTCAACACATAAGCTGAGAATCTGAGTGTCATATGTGACAGCATGCTCGCTCGGTGACATCTCACTCTCTGTGTGTGCTGCACTCTGAGCTGCAAGGTGGGAGGGTAGAAGTGATGCCTTACACACAATAGTGCAAACTGTGGAGGTCCAAGGACAATTCGGCAAGCCTCAATGCACAGCAGGAGACTGAGGCTATACAGCAAGTGGGGGGAGAGTATGGGATATAACAGGGGCTAAAAACCTTGTATTTTAACGGACCCCTCTCTAACAGAGAAGCCGCCGTCTACAATCTGGATTTGCTGTCACGTTCAAACTTTCAAGTGTTCAGGATACCAATTTAACATACGGAGGTCTCACATAGTCTGTTAATATTACTTTTACATCACTGTAGTGCAAGTGTGCGCGTGTGATTCCAGTATCTCCTATAAAATCTTGGCTACTTGGCAAAACCCTCTCTCTGAATTTAACAACAATATTTACATTAACATATCAAAATTAATTGAATTTGACTTAACCTTTGTATTTTTTTGGTTGAGTACTTACATTACCACAAATATTTCCAACACTTATCAAAGCCAGAGAAATCCATAATTTTATAGTTGTAACCGGACGTGTCTTGTCGTGGCGGCTGCCATGACAGAGACGCCATGACAGCCGCGACATGTTCAGCGTTGCCATGGAAACACTGGATGTTCATCAAAGACCTCTGCATAAGGAACCGGAATTGCTACTGAAAGCTGTCGTACTGTTGCTGTATGTGCTGCTGTGATGAAAATGTCATGTAAATTATACTTGGATACATAGTCGGTAAACATATTGTCTTCATAAGGTCAGTTTTGCTCGTTAGTCTTCACTATGGTAAACGCGGTTTTGACAGTGTTAGTGTATATTGATGTAGGTTTATGTGTTGATGAAGAAAATATTTTCATCCACCAAAGGGGGGCCTGGGAGAAAAAGTGAGGGAGCCAGTGGTATATACAAACTGTATGCATGTTATGGAGAAAGGCATGTTATTTATGTAGGCCATGTCAGCCAAGTCGTCTCATTAGCATTGATACAAGTCTCTTTGACCAGATACGTATATGTCTTAGGTGTAGCATAAGAGTGTGTTTGAATGTGTGGGTGATGATGTTAAACTTACATCACTGTAAATTCACCTCAGGAGGAATAAGACAATGTGTCCATCAGTGTGTATATGTGTGCATGTAAATGCTGTGTATGTGTAAGATCCATTACCGCTGGGCTCGTTGTCTCGATGCTGCTTGGCAGGCGGCTCATCTGTATCCCAAGGTGTGAGTTGGTTAATGGGCATCTGTCCCCACCTCACCCCTGGAGCCAGCAGCAGTCCTGGAGTTTTGATTGTCCCCAGCAGACACACCTGAGACCTGCAGAGCATAAAAAACATCACTGAATAAGGATTCATATTTTAATCAAATCAAAAATAAAATAAAATAAATGTGCAATGTCATGACAGTGATTTTGTGCTGATTACAGCCTTATACACTGGGAATGACGGCCAAAAATAACCTCGCTCAACGGCCTGAAGAGTCTTTGTACAAAGACCATTATTTCCCTTTTCATATACTGATTACAATTATCTTTCTCATGTCGGCCTTTTACACATTCTAATTTTCCACTCGGAGACTTTGTGTGTCTTAATTCTGAAATAAATTAAACATTGTGTTTAGCCAACTGAGAAGATATGATTCTGAACAGGCAGGAATACAACAGTTAGAGTCAGTAGGAAGAAGTAATTTTGCAGAACAGAGACATGTGAGAAATGAGAATCAAAAGAAATGAAAGCTAGGAGTTTCAAACAATGGAACTGTCATATTTGCACCTTGTATATGCACCCATATCTCTCATATTTCACACCCATAGGAGAATGAGAAGTGTTAACGGGAGAGGTCAGGCTGATGAAAGCACGGATGAGTACATTTTCTTTAAAAATCAATGAAAAAACTCTCTTACAATTCATTTCTGAAGCATTTAACAATGAAATGCATTCGATCAGTTAAACTGAAACTCCTGCAGCTCTTCATGTCATTAGTTCAGCACCAAATCTGCTCTGTTTTAAACAACTTCTCAACAGAGGACCTGAAACATTGAGTATCACTAACTTGACCAATCAATACTTAAAATTCATCTGACAGTTTGTAATTGCTATGGGGGCAAAAGGAAAAAAACATTCATAGGAAACATCCAAAGGTAAAGTATCAAACAGAGTGATGGAGTGAAGCTGGGTGAAGGTGGAGACAGACTGTCAGCTCTTTTAGTCCAGCTCCACCTGTCGACTATAGACAAAAGAAAACTGAGATGATTTACTCAGAGAAAAATCCTCAGAGCTCTATTCCACCTGAGAGCCCTGGAGACTTTGGGTGAGAAATATTCTGACTCTTTTCATGGTAAGAGTTGTTTTCTATAGCCTGCTATATGTTTTTAATGATGTAATATGTTCTCTGCTCGGTGAGCTTTACTGTTTCTCTCCAGCCATGCTTCACCTTGTCCTCCTCCTCTCTACAGAAAACTCCTCAACTCCCAGCATTGACTGGACAGCTTCCCTTTAGTCCTGTACCTGCCTCATGATATTCACTTATTAGTACTTCAGCCCATTTACCTAAAACACAGACAAAACAGGACACATTTTATTTAAGAAGGAAATTCATGGGCCACAGTTTCGGTTTCGCCAGGAAAAGAAAGGAAAAAAAATGTTTTTAATCAGTGACATCACAGCGAGAGCACATTGGCCAGGCACAAGAACAATACTGATGCATAGATTAGGTTCAATAAATACACACATAAAGGCATAAACGCACTGGAAACACAAAAGCCTGTATGCATATATATATATATACACACACAACAGGTGAAAATATGTGCACACACATACACACAGCAGCCAGGAGAAATAAGTCACTACGCTTATTAAAACTACTGACCTGCTACACGTAGGCCAGTCCTGAAACAGTGTCTGACATTTTCTGTCTATTTTATTTGCTATCCACATTTCCACCTCTTCACACGGTCACACAGTATCTCAAATAAGTGCATGTTTGTCCTTTTCTACGTTCTAACTCAATCCTTTTTCTATTAAGCAGCAGCTAATCATCTGCTCCTCCTGCCCACTGACATACTGTATAAGCACACACAATTGTGCGTGCACAGCAAAGCTAGGCAGATCCTCCCTCCTCTCAAACCTGTGTGTGTTGCAGAAATGTCAGAAACAAGTGAATTGAAGAGAGAAGGTAAAAAGTCAAGATGCATCAGGTCTTAATGTAAACCTGTCTGATTTAATGCAGTGACAACAATCCTATTTTGGCCAACGTATCAGCCATTTCCGCAGACACACACTGACATCTGTCATCGTGTGTTTCACTACCACGCAGTAGTAGGCAGCGTTACATCTCATCACTGTCTACCATCTGCTATAGGCTCCTAGGGGCTTCCTGGTGATTCAGGACTCTGGGCCTTGACTGCTGTGAGTCTCCAACAAGATCAACATCTGAACAAACAGAATATGTTTGCTTATTGTTCTTTTTATTTTTCCTTTTATGATTGTCTCTTTTATGGTTTGAGCCATACAGCCTCTTCCTGTTTTAGGTATTTCACCAGTTTATTCATATAATAACAGAGTAGGATGACAGGATTCTGCAGAAAATTACCAACACTCAGCACAAGCTCCTGCTCTTTGTAGCTTTTGTACTTGTGTTAGGGGCCCGTGTCTATAACACCCAGGTCCCATCCCTAACTGCTATGAGATGTAGTTCATGTCTGAATGACATGAGGATAAGAGTTGTAATTCTGTAAGAGGAAAGCTGATTTTGAAGAAAAGAAAACGGAGGAGGGTTGAGGGAAAGGAAACAATTCACTTACACACCAACACACACAGAGCAGATCAGTAACAACGGCACGGTGAAAAGCTAATCTCACCAAATGTCATTAGGACGACTGCAGGACACAATGAGATAGCATTTTGCAGGGTGCAGGTCAGTGCTACACAGGTTGATTGTTTTCTACCTTTTAAGGTTCAGTGTATCCCTTTACAGCAAAGAGGAAAATAACAGACTGCAGGTGAGAGGTTTACTGCTGTGTGATCTCACTCAGCAGGAAATCAGGCCTGTTAATGTGCAGTTTTTGTTTTTTATCCTGACAGGTTGATGAGTTCATCTTTTCCAAAACTGATGGAGCAGGATTGCTGGTGGTCCGGTGTTGGAGCTGCCAATACAGTGTGATTTAAATGCATATGAGGAAGAAAATTAATCCAAAAATGAACTCGCTATCTCTGGGAAGATGCATTTAATTCTCTTTATATCTTAACAGCAGTCAGGGCTGCGTTGCTATATTGTGTGCAACGATACAATTATTTCACATGCTGAAGTCCACCACTAACAGATCAAGAAAAGCTAGCATGCTGAAAAGTCAGCTCAGCCAGTATGGCTTTTTCTTTCCTTCAGCCAAGCACAGACAGAAACGGAGAATTTAGCAGAAATGTGGAGGATGATTGAAATAATAGCTTTCCTCTGAGAAAAAAAAGACAGAAGGCTAGCAGCCAAGTGAAAGATCGAGAGGCAGCGCAAGACAAAACCATCCATCACATCGTCTTGTATCATTGGCATTTACGGATCATTGTCTTTTGAAATGAAAGGGGGGGGGCACTTCTTTTCCTCGTCCTGCTCTGCCAATAATGTGTAGTCCCAAGCCGACCAGGAGCGAGTGCACCAACAGCCTTTCCCTACTCACTCACTCTATCGAGGTATCTCTTCTCCATGGCAACACGCTGACGCCTTAATGTGAAGTGGATTGGTTCTGGACTTTGGCTAATGCTGAAGCCGGACCATCCAGGCGATTGTCCAATCTATGTTATTGGAACATAGCAGAGCATCGCACGGTAAACAAAGAGACAAAGAGACATGGAGGGGAGCTCCAACATGACAAAGAGTGTGGTGTCCAATACAGGGAAGGTGTGTATTCAGTATGATGGCTGATAAAAAGACAGGGTAAACGAAGGTAATATTTCTATTTTCATGAATAGCTTCAAAATATTGCAAACTGATATGGAGATAAAACATACCAACCACATTAAAAAAACAAACGCCCCGCAACACTATGAAAACACTATTGAAGCACCACAGAAAGGGCTATGGATACAGACCCAAAGTTCCCTTCCACTGAAATTCTGGTTGAGGGGCTCTGACAGCTCGGCAGGCCCCTCTCTGGACGCACACACATTTGAGAAAAGAGACGTGAGGCTGACACCCTGTGACTGCTCAGAGGTTGCAACCTTGCCCTCCAAAATCAACCTCTGTCCCTTTCATTTTTAGTGTTCTTTTCTCTTCACAGAAAGTGTGAGGAGTTTGGTGCTACGGCACTGTGAACGTGTTTGTGGGACCAAGCGGCAGTAGTGATGCTAAGAGAGAGTGGGACTAGTACTCAGACGTGTGAACTGTGGAGACTTCTTTATGTCATGGTAACACCCTCCCAGAGGAGCGTGTCAGCAGCCTTGTTGGCCTCCGTTTGGCTCTGGTCTGGACAGTGAGAGACAGAGGTCTCCAGCAGGCTGTGACCCTGCCTGATACGTGGTCAGTGTTTGCGGAAGAAAGTATCCTCCACCTGTCACAGCAGCAGCCTCAGAGACCGAGAGACCACCGTATAATTTTGTCTTCTGTGGTTGAAATTGAGGGAAAACTGTGCGGCTCTGTGTGTGTGAGAGCTGAGTACTTGCTGGGGAAACAGCCATTTAGCGCTAAACAATGAATCAAATTCCAATTGATATTACAATATAAATGGAAATAAGACCTTCTCAGCCAAGAGTGCAGGATGCTGAATTTTCATATTCATCTTATGTTTGCAATCTTGGAGCAAAATACTGGGATGTTTGTGGCAGAGAAAGAAAAATACGAGCTAAGCATCAATGTAGGTCATATGTTGTAGATGCTACTTTCAGACCCATATAGTGCTTCAAATTAAGAGCTGTCACACTCTCTGAAAATACAGGCAAAGCAAGTGGCCAGTATGGCCTGCAAGATATGAGAACATTTTGTGTTGTGCAATAACATTTTGAAATATTGCAATAACGCCAGAAATTGCGATAAAACAAAAATGAAGAGTGCATATAAGCTTGAACTCACAGCTTCTGTCTGCCTGCCGTTCTGCATGTTTAACAGAACACCTGTGTTTGCATGTCCTTTCTAAATCCAAAATTAATTCAAATAAATGTCTGAGTCCCTACACAATTGGCACCAAAAACCAGTGTAGCTTATCACAGCTAATTGTTAGCTTTAGCTTCAAATCCCAATTAACTGCACAGCCCCAGCGGCCAGTACATACTGTAAATACACCTTATTATGGATCCACAGCCCCGACAGTATGAGAGCACTACAAG